TGGCCCAGTATCAGATGCCATCCATTGTGGCATCATATGTACTTAATTGCAAAGGTTCAAAAAACATGATTCCTCCTCTCAGCATTGAATTTGAAGCTACTCCTTTTTGAAGTAGTCCCTCCACTACCACTAGTTTAAAGATGAAGAGGAAAAATTGGGGTGAGAGGGAACTGTAGAATACTAAAGGTGACATGACATGAAGATCTGACATCCCTAGCAACAATTCTATCATCTTCAGGACTAGCTTTTGTAGACCAACTTAGTGGGCACACCTACACATGCAATTAATGTGCACGAATAAACTCCAGAGCTTATTGTTCCAGAGTTTTTTCATGCACAACACATTGAGCCTGGTCGGAGCAGACGCCCTGGCTGGCAGCAGCCCAGGGCTGCCCCAACCTGGCTCAGTGTGCTGCAGGGGGGCTGGATGGAGCATGAGGGTGCTTCAGTGCAGGGCTAGCAGGCAGCCACATCCCTGAAGCAATCTCATGCTCCAGCCAGCCAGGCAGTGTCTGCAGGGACACTGCTGCACACAAAACAACTCCAGAGCAAGATAGTCCTTGTATTTACAAGCCTAATCCAGATTGTATTAGTTTCATGCACCCTAATAGGGGTGCACATGTAGATTAGCTACTTAGGCAGCTCCACAATAAACTTCTTGTATAGACACACCCAGTTAAATGTAATTGCGTTCAGTTCAGCACAGATCTAACATTTTGTATCCTTCCCAGGACCACTCATCATAAACTCTTCCTCCTTTATTATCTGTAATTTAAAGTGGTCTCTATATATCATTAATGCCTTCTTCCTTCTCCCTGGTGCATGGAATAGCTCTAAAGATTACCAATTTCTTTCAGTGTATGTGACATTGTCTTTGGCTGGTCATATCAGCATTGCTTCATTTTTTCTCATCTTTCACAACATTGCAATAGAAAACATGGGAAAGAAATTTGGACTGGACACACCTTCCCATCTTTAACTGAATAGCAATTTAAAAGAACCCAGAAACTTGATAAAATATTACTACTTGTTGTGGGTACTGCCTCTTAGAAAATTCCTGGAGAAGACACCACTGTCTGAATTAGGGGTGCACCGATAAAGATTTTTTTGGCTGATACTGATGGCCGATTATGAACCAGCCATATCGGCTGATACCAACCCAATAGCTGATATGCAGCCTGGCAGCTTGGAGAGCAGCATCTGACTGGTAAGTCTGGGGGGAGAAAGGGACATGGGGAAAGGGAGGGGTGTGGGAGGTCAGATTGAAGCTCCCACAGTGAGGGAGGGAATGGGACTGAGTCAGAGGCAGGTGTTTCCCAGCCAGGGTGGGGTGCAGGACAGAGCCATGGGCAGCTCATCCAGTGGTCAAGGGGAAGGGAAGTGTAGGGGGACACAAAAGGGATCAGCTCCCTGCCACTGCACGCATCCCAGGGAGAGGCACAGGGGGTATGTGCCCCCTAGATTTGTGTGTAGGTGAGGGCGAGCTACCCACTGTAGGCTTGTGGCCCGGGGCTGCACCGGCCTCTTCCCAGTGGAGGGGTCTGGGCCAAAGCTATGCTCAGGGCAGTTGGGAGCAGGATGGGCAGCAGCGGCAATGTGGGGGGGCTACAGGGTGGGCAATAGCCACCCCAAAATTTGCTGTAGCTACCCCTCCCAGTGCTGCCAACACCTGATCTGCTCCCCCGATGTCCCTTCCCTTTCCCTTCCCCATGCCGCTTCCCCCCCACAGACTTACCAGACAAACGCTGGTCTCCAATCTGGCAGGCTGCATTTCTGGCCACATGCATGCTGCGGCTGCATGCATGCACGTGGCATTTATCAGTGACATTTATCATCTACGCTGGCCAGTAACGTCAATTTTCCTTTTATTGGTGCTGACCCAATATGGACCGATATATCAGTGCACCTTTAGTCTGAATGGATTGTGGCCCTTTCCTTATTGCCTCTAGGGGAAATTATTGTTTGTTATATATTTTTAATTCATTAAGGAAGGTTTTATGCTCTGGATATGTATGATTTCATGATAATTACTTTATAATGTTGATATCTTTATGGTATCAGATATGAAATGAAGGGAAATGTTAGTTGGAATCTTCTTTAAGAAGTCTTTGACACTTCAAAAATGCAAACTGAGAAAATCTGTTTTTCCATTACTGGAAGGTAGCATTAGGCCCTAAATTTCAGACCTCATCCCTACAAAGAAAATGGTAGAATGACAGGAATCTCCAAGGTGGCCTTGGGAATTAGTATTGCCTGAAGGAAGCTGAAGAAGTGTTGGGGGGCGAAGGACATGGAGGGATAGGAAGTTTGCTTGGGAAAAAAGGTTGGTTCTTCTGGGCAAACTGGAGTGCCTGTGTTTGAAAGTGGGTGACAGGCAGCTGCAAAGAAGCTGATAAAAGATTTACCCTGTAAACCCAGCATGTGAAGGATTGAAACTATATCCCCTTTTCTAATTAAAAATATGATAAAAGAAAGCATGCTTTAAATCACTGAGGTGCAGGCAAGAAGATAAAGCTTTCCTTTTCTTTCTTGTTTTATATTTTTTTAAGACTTCTCTTATTTAATGCCACAGAGGGATAACTAAAATATAAAACCAACTGTGAAACAGCTTTCTGGATTTTCCATTCCAGTGACTCTGGCAGAGATTTGATCCTTGGTCTTTAGGGTGATGTTAAGTTTCCTTATAAAATATTTATACAGAATAGTGCCTTAGGGTAGATGTGTGTTTGTAGAGCAGCCTTATAGTTAAAAACAATGAAGTTTGGGCTGCCATTATAGTCTCTCTTGTATTCCATTAAAATATCTTCTTCAACATGTATTCAAGTAAACGCATTTAAAAGCTTTTTCCATTAGCTGTTATAATTAAGGGTGTCTTGGATATAGTAAGATTAGGATGCACCAACTTAGAAGTTCAGTTGGTCTTTGGACCTTTTTATGTTATTAGCATAAAGGATGGTCATGGTGTTGATAGCCGTGTTATATAACCATTATTCCTCTTCCAGGTGATGATGATTAATAATAATATTTTGTAGCTTTGGCATGGGAATAAACATTTGGTCCCTTTGCAATGGAATTTACAATTTAGGTTCAACATAATTGGGTATCATTTGGGGTTAAGAAAGCAAGAAAGAAGAAGTTTAAATGAACTAAGATTACAGGATAGTACTATTTCTAAAATATGCATCATATTAAACCTAAATATTCTCTTTTTTACATTAATGTAGACTGTATTAGGTTGGCACAAAAATATGAGTGGTTATTGGTAAACATGGTTTGAAGAGGGACCTGGAGGAGGTTTGGGAGATTGTATGGCAGAAGGGAGCAGGGAGACTGTTCCAAGCATATAGAACAACATGAAAGAAAAGGAAGTTCCTGTGAAAGAAGGATACAAAGAAGTTTGAAGGTGAGTAGAATGATCAGAGCACAGAGCCTGAGTGAGGATGGTGGAGTGAGACTAGTATCAGGATGGAACTGAAGTGATTACTTAGATTGCTCAGTGAGGAAGGTGAGTTTAGCTCCCTCAGTTTGGTGAGACTGGTAGCCTGCAGGCAGGAGTCAGGTAGAATACAGAGGAGACAGTGGCAAGACAGAGACAGTGCTATTCTAGACTTTCTCTCCAGCGAAAGAGGTGAGTGGCAGAGCTCAGGTTCAGAATAATTATGAGTTGGGGATATTCCCTAATCTGCACGCTTTATTATGTAACTTTTGTTTATTTATCCAGTGTCCTGGATAGGCATATTTTTAAATACATACAGATCAGGAGAATCTTTCAGGGGAGACTGACCAAATGTGAAGCAAGGAGAGTATGGATATGGGGCAAGGGCATTCATACCGACACTGAATAAAGTTAGTTTTGTGCCAGAAAGAAGTAATAGTGTGGCAGAGAGAAGTAATGGCCAACTGTATGGAAGGAAAGAAAGACAAAGAGCTAGAGTAGGTTTGAGGAAGTGAAGCAGGGGTGTAACTGAAATAGAAGTGATAGATGTTGAGCAGGGGAGAGAACTAAAGCTCATTGACAAGAAAGAGGAGCCAATGGAGGACATCATTGAGCTTCTTGGACTTTCTTCAGAGATGGTGGCTCAGGCCAAAAGGAAAGAAAATTCATGGGAAAACCTGGAGTTGTTGACTGGGGTGTGCTGTGTAGATGAAGCGGTAGAGGTTTCACCCATAACATACTTGTCCTATACACTGTCATGCAACCTATGACAAATCCCATGCCATTTAGCTAGGCTTCTATTGGTATCAGAGCTAGAAAATTCAAAGCTAGTTTGTGTATACAGAGCCCATCACGGTCACAGTTTTGGTCTGTATTGTGGACATGCCTTAAGTCACATAAGCACTTTTGGATTTTTCTTTGCAAGGCATTACATTCCTACTAACATCAATAGTAAAATTTGCATTAACTGTATTAAGTGCCCTCATTTGCTCTCTCTTATTGCACAGCAAAATAAAGCTCATATAAAATTATTAAAATCTTTCCTTAAAATATTTCAGAATGAGCTTTTCTTGCGAGAATTAAGTTAAAACTTAATAAAAGTATATTGTCTGTAGGAAAGTGAGAGTTTCCATAGAGTTCAGTTTTTTTAATATAAATGTTCAATTATTTCATTTTTCCTGAAATATATTTCTCTTTTCTTTAGAAAACTATATCTGTTGCTTGGTGTTGCTGTTGTAAAATATATCATACTACTACCCGTACAAACTTGTGATTTGACTTTCTTTTCACTCTGGGTATGATCCTTGTGTATGTTATATATAACATGTCCTCGAGTATTGAGGAATGAAAAATACTGAATATAAAAGGCATCTGTAAGACAAACCTTATTTTCTTTTTCAGTGTCTGCATTAATAAAAAAAAATTTAAGTAAATGTATTTAGCAGAATCAGCATATTGCTTTATTCCTTTGAGTGTTTGTCTTATTCCCTTAGAGTGTTTTAATTTTAATATTGAGAGTTCTCGAAGCTAACATACACACGCATATATATGTGCTTTTGTACAGGTAACAAGTTCTGGGTCTTCAAGGACACCACTCTCCAGCCAGGGTATCCTCAAGATTTGATAACACTCGGAATTGGAATTCCTCCCCATGGTATTGATTCAGCAATTTGGTGGGAGGATGTTGGGAAAACCTACTTCTTCAAAGGAGATAGGTTGGTATTGGAGTCCTGGAAGGAAGTAATTTGATTGATTAATGTCAACAGGAGTACATGAAGTGTTTGCTTATCTTTCATAAAAGATGCAATCTGATCCATTTACAATATTAAATATGCATTGTGGAGAAAATTCATCTGAGTGTCAAGTGCCCTCATAACGCCTATGCATCACTAAAAGCCTATACTATTTTTGCATGAGCTCACTGGATGTTGTCTTTTCAGTCCAAAAGGTGTTTTTAAGGATTAGCAAGTAATTCAGTTTCAACAAATTTGAACAAATATTCAAAGCAATACAATTATCATGGAGTTTAATTTTATTCAAGTAATCTTTGGTCTTCTTCCATTTTCCTTTCTACCTTCATGGTTAAGGTAGCACATAAACAGGAAAAGACTAATCCAAAGCCTGTGTACATAACTGGAAACAGTTGCTGTGCAGCTTTTAAGAAATGAGTTGGAAAGGGTAAGCAGAAGTTAAGACTGGAAATCAGCAAACTATTTGAGCAGTTTAAAATCAGACTGTATGAATTACCATTAAATAATTATGTATTTATTACAATTTTATTTTTGCTGCTACTGCTGCTGCTATTGCCGCTGCTTTGGAGACCTAGCAACCTTTGAGTTGAAAGCATCATCATCATTATTATTATTATTATTATTATTATTATTATTATTCCAGTACCATTGAGCATTAAAAGTAATGTTGGATATTTATGAAACCAGTTTGAATAT